AAATAAAAAAAATTAATAATTCATATCACGATCAGTCAATAATTCATGACACCCACAAAAAATAATTATTATAATTCATTACAAAACAAATAAAAAAAAATCAAAAGAAATCAAGAAACAAGAAACCGTACCTCCACTAGACATCCCATCCTTTGTGATTAGCCTCCTCATCATTCAAATAATTAAACACATCAATAAGGATCGTAAAGAGGTCGAGTTACTCATCCTCTGAGTTAGCCCGAGCCAACTCGAACTAGTTTGTGGGTGGATCAACTCGGCCCCATAGCCACTTATTAGGGTCTTTATGTAACCATAAACAGCCAAGAACACATAATCGTGGCACTGTCATACTACAATTTTCCATTCTCTATTCTCTTGTTATGGTTGTACAAGAAAAAAAAAAACAGTTTTTTTTATTACCAATACCGATGGAAGTAGGAGAGTGACAAATTTGGGCCCAGCTCTGTTTTCTTGCTCCTGGGCTTGGTGGAAATTACAAAACCCTACATGTAAATGTGGATGTGGTTTTTTATTCCATCACATTGCCTGTTGCTGATACGGCTCTATAATTAAAGCCAGTGTGGTCCACTAAGGGCCCCCGCTTCTAAAATAATCGTGAAATTGAACTGTGAACACTCCCCCACGACACCAGTTATCAGAATAATCGAGAAAGTGGAAATTGCATTTATTAATAAATAAGTATTATTTTATATATTATATTTTAAATTTTATATTAAATAATTAATATTTTTAAATATATTAAAGTGGGTGTGTTTTCCAATTATTTTAAAAGATATTAATCTCACGAACACCCACGATTTAAAAAAAAAAAGAAAAAGAAAGAAGAAGATGGAATCTTATCTGATCCTAAACTGGCAGCAACTGTAATTGACTATTCTTTACTTGGCGGGCTGATATTGTTATGCAATTATTTATACTGTGAGTACAGTGGCATTTAAGAGAGAGACAGACACTTTATGAGACAAAAGGGTTTAAAAAAAAAAGGAGCATGAATTTAACAAGATTATCAGAAAAATTATATAACAACACACCACCATTCAAACTTATAATTTGGTTTTGATGTATTTGAGTTACACAGGAGTGAGCAACTCTTTCCCTTCTTTAACCCTCCAATTTCCATATTGGGGAAGGTGGAATCGAATATCAAATTTTTTTCTTTTTTATATAGATCAGAATTCAACATGCTTGACAAACATTACAGAAATTCATAATACAAAAATGAACTCAGTTGATCACTCCCTTCTTCAAACATGTAATTATTAGTATTTTATCAGATATGCTAAAAACAGAGCCTACAGAGAATACATATGAGGTGGGAGCCGAGGCTCAGCCACTGCTTCAAGTGGGATTTTCTTTGGCGTCGACAGCCCAAAAATTTCCTCCATATTCAGATCTTCATTTTTCATGTTCCCTGGCAATTTCCAGGTGAATCCGTGGAGAAGATTCGCCAGACTTGACTGAATCACCTTAAGCCCCAGAGCATACCCAGGGCACATCCTCCGCCCGGCTCCAAATGGCAGCAGCTCATAGTCCGTCCCCTTGACATCGATGTCCTTCCCGATGAACCTATCCGGACAGAATTCATCAGGGTTTTCCCACAGAGTAGGGTCCCTCCCAATTGTCCATACATTTACAAGCACTCTGGTGCCTTTGACGATGTCGTAGCCGTCGATCTGACAGTCCTCGCGGGACATGCGAGGGACCAACATCGGTGCCACGGGATGGAGTCGCATGGTTTCTTTGACTATGGAGTCAATGAAAGGGAGGTTGACGATGTCTTTTTCTTCGACCCATCTGCTTCTTCCAATGACTCTGTCTAGTTCCTCCGTTGCCTTTTCAAAGATCTCTGGCTTTTTCAGGATCTCTGAAATTGCCCATTCCACCGTCACTGCAGAACTCTCTGTTCCACCGGCGATGAGATCCTATGAAATGATTATCAAAGAGAGATTACGTCATTAATTAATTTAAAATATAGTTAGAATTCCATGTTGTTTGCAATTAGGTGCAATACCGAAATCATTAAATGAGAAGACCTGTCCGTTTCCATCAAAGATATATATATTTTTTTTGCACATTCTTCCATCAAAGAGTTTTATGTTGTGTAATCAGAATTAAATAGTGTTTTTAATATAATTAACACTTCGCTTCAATCTTTTTATAATATAATAATTAATTATTTGAGGCAATGTCTTGGAAGGATGCGAGCAGCAGGTCAATAATGGCGTGATGAGATTGGATACTAGTAAATTTAAATATCACAAATTGGCACTAAGATGCATATAAATTCAAAATAATACTGTTGATTCACCCCTAATTTAATATATATTGGATAATATATTTTTAATATAAAATTAAAAAATAAATAAAATTGAAGATATAATTATATACACAACATATAAAAATAAGTTGAATTAATTATATTTATTTATATTTTTAAAAATTGATTTAAATATGTATAAAAAAAATACTAAACCAAATAAATAGTAATTAGTTTTCAATTCAAAAATATAAAAAAAATAAATATGCCGTATATGACTGGAAAAAAAATTACTGTAAAATAATGTGCTTTTTCTACCTGAGTGAATGCCTTCACTCCATGTCTCTCCAGCTTGACTTCCAGGGTCGGATCGTCGGCGAGCTGCAAAAGCACATCCACCATGTCCTTAGCCGCATAATCCTCCACCCCTTTCCTCCTAGCGTTATGTTGATCCAGTACATGCTCCAAAAACCTATCGAATTTCTTGCTCAGGACCTTCATCCTCTTAATATACCCTTGGAGATCCAAAAAGCTTAGCCAAGGAATCGAATCTCCGATGTCAAGTACACCGTTGAGTAGGAAAAGTTCATCAAGCATCTCCTTGAACTCCTTCGGAGTGACGATCTCGTTCTCTCCAGTTCCTTCCGTGTACTTTTTCCCCAGCACCATGCGGCTGATCACGTTTAGGCTGACGTTTGAGAGGTGATCTTTGAGCATAATCGGGGTGCCGGAGGAATTGTAAAGGCCTTTCAGGAGGAGCTTCATTTCTTCTTTTCGGATGTACTCGTAGGACTCTAAGCGTCTGGCGCTGAAGAGCTCCATCAGGCACATTTTCCGGGCTTGGCGCCAGTAAGGACCATAAGGGGACCATGTTATATCGGAGTAATTGTAGGTGGTGTATTTACCGGCGGCGATTTTAGGGCGGGAAGCGAAAACAACGTCATGGGTTTTAAGGAAGGCTTTGGCCATTTCAACGGAGGAACCGACGACGATGGGGAATGAACCGAAGCGGAGTTGCATGAGTGGGCCGTATTTTTGAGAAAGGGCGTGGAGGGAGCGGTGGGGGAGTGGACCGATGAGGTTGAGGTTGCCAATTATAGGCCAAGGTTTTGGGCCGGGAGGGGGGTTGAGTTTTCGGCGGCGGAGACGAAGAGAGAAGAGGATGAGGGCTACAGTTAGCAGCCATGCGGCAATTGAAGGCGTTTCCATGGCGGACGCGGCGATGATTGTTTAATTGGTAGTGCTGGGGGTTGAAGTTGGGAGTATTTGATCATGCATTTATAGACGGACGGCGACCGACCTCCTCTATGGGAGGGATTCTGAGTGCTATCTTGAACCAATAAAAATACACCATTTTTATTTTTTCGGTTTTTCGCTCGCATTTGAGGTTTCGTCTCAATTAATCTGGATTTGACTCGGGTCGTGCACTTAGTGGGATATAATGGGTGAGTCTCTCAGTGAGAACTGTTGCATATATAAGTCTCAAACTTAAAATCTTGTTTAAGCTAAAAAGAAATAGTGAGTGAATCTCCTAATGAAAACTGTTACATACATAAAATCTCAAACTCAAGATTTTACTTAAACTGAAATAAGTCACTCTTTTATCGAACGACTCGTTAGTAAAAATACACCATTTTTAACATTCTTTTTTCACACTTCATCAATCATTTCACGAAAAAAATAGAGGGGGTGGTGTTATTGCCACATTTTCAAAGGTTAACACCACAGCTTTTTTAATTAATTGACCATTAACCCACGCGGAGAAGGTGGTGACTGCTGCAAGTTGGAGTCAAATGAGGGGTATAATAGTCAAATAATTAAAAAATGCTGTGGTATTAACATTTGTGGCTGTGGCAATAACACCACCCAAAATAGAGATGGCATGCTTTTATTGGTAGTGGGATCTGAGGATATAATAGAATTTTTCCTTCTGTGGATGAGTTTGACGTTTTATTCTGTTTTTATCTCAAAATAATAATAATAATAATAATAATTTTTTATAAATT